TTTTTTTACATCCCATTACTTTAAGAACACAGGACATTTCATGACATTGCATAACAATACATACATTACATTAACATTACAATATTAAATTAACATTGCACTACATTGCATTCCACAACATTACACTACATTACACTGCATGAACATGATAGTACATACACTGCATTTCATTACATTTTACTAACAACAACATTGCCTTAGCATTGAATAACATTCACATAACATTACATTACAATACATTAACATTGCATTGTATTACATTCGCATTACACTGCAATAATTACGTTGCATAATATTACATCACATTACATTGCATTAACATTAACATTAACATTAACATTACATTACATTACATTACATTACGCCACATTAACATTACATTACGCAATATTGCATACCGTTCCATTCACATAACATGAAATCGCAATACATCACATTACATTATACTACATTACCTACCTGAACATTGCTTGATATTTACGTTACATTACATTACATTACATTAGATTACAATAAACATTACATTACATTACATTACACTACATTGCGCCACATAAAGATTAGATTATACATATTAACATTGCACTTCTTCACGATACGTTACATAACATTACACTACATTGCATGACAATTAACATTACAATATATTGCAGCAACATTACATTACATTAAGTTACGTTACGTTACGTTACGTTAAATTACATTGCATTGCATTGCATTGCATTGCATTACATTACATTACATGGCATTCACATTACCTTAACATTGCATAACATTAGCCTGAAAAACATTGCACAACAGTACATTATACTACAATACATTCCAGTACACTACATTACATGGCATTGCACTACATTACATTGCGTTACAGTACACTACATTGCATTACATCACACTGCTTCACATTGCATTACATTACATTACATTGCATTGCATTGCGTTGCATTACATTGCATTCACATGGCCTTAACATTGCATGACATTTACTTTACATAACACAGCATACCAGTACATCACAGTACGTTACGTACAAGAACGCTAAGAAGTGGTTTCCCTTACTTACCCTCCACAACTCCGTCCAATCGAAGCGCTTCGATTCGAGTCGTCGAGGCCCGGGCTTGCACCCGGAGGCCAGCGCGAAGTTCAGGGTCCTCTCCGCCTCCAGCTCGTCGTAGTTGGTGGGCATGTGGAGCACCCCGGCGCCGTTGAGTCCTCAGACCCGAACCGAACTCAATGATACCTCTTTTGTTTCTTGCCGCATCAAAAAGCTTGGAGAAAAGAAATATCTAAGCTCCTGACTTAATAATATTTTGCTACTATTAGAAAGCTTTTACGAGTTTGGGTGAAGCAGAACCAAGCCCGATCTCGGCACGAGTACGCATTATCAAGCATGTGCAGACGGGGAACAGTCCCAAACTTTCACACTTTCACTTCAAGACACCAGGTGGACTGGCCATAATCTTCCGATACTCTGTTAGGAAGTTGAGAGGGTGTACTCATTTGAAAGGGTAGTGTCCCGTCCCCGGGTGCTTCTTCATGCAGAATGATTGTTTGCCTAAGATATCAAAATAATATGAAACAGGTTTTGCCTGTTTGGGCATGACGGCGTCTATGATGACCCGACAAAGGGCGCATCTCACGTAATCTGTTTACATATGCAAACGCCATCTCACAGGCATGAAAAAGTTCGAGCGAAGGAGAGTGGAGAAAACAGCCAGAGCCATTGTGGGAATGGTCTAAGTTTGATGCTGATGACCTCTTGCTTGGGGTGGTTGCCTTTTGCTGTTGTTAGTCAGCCAGCCAGCCAGCCAGCCAGCCAGCCAGTCAGTCAATCAGCCAGCCAGCCAGCCAGCCAGCCAGCCAGTCAGTCAGTCAGTCAGTCAGGCAATCAGTCAGTCAGTCAGTCAGTCAGTCAGTCAGTCAGTCAGTCAGGTAGGTAGGTAGTTAGTTAGTTGGTTGGTTGGTTTTTCTTTTCTCGGGGTCAAGGGCCAGCAACCAAGCGCTGGCAATTTCAAATCTGTCAAGGAGACCTTTGGAAGGAGACCAAGCCACGGGTCTTCAGATCTTTGGGTCTTGGTACCATTGGTTTTGACCCACAGCCAGATCTGTTTGCTTGGGGTTGGTAGGGATGGTCAAGCTCTTGATAAATGGGTGTGGGTCAAAATTAAACTAGGAATTGGACCGCAGGTTTGAATGTGCATGTGTCCATTTACCAGGGCTCCATTTTGGGTACCTAATTTTGACCCACAGCCAGTTGAGGCTGCTCCGAGGTAAGCACCTTTTTGTTTCAGATCCATCTCGCCCTGGGGGTCAGTTGCCAACAATGGCAACGGGTTTATATAACTAGGTCCTCCAGTAGAGAGGATAGAATAAGGGTATCCTTTTTTTAGTAGAGGAACCCTCCCCAACAAAATTATTCAAACAAGGCACTACTGGAGGACCTAGATAACCTTGTTCCAAGCATGGTCATCCAAAGTAGTTCCCAAGGCCATTTCTTTAACGGAGGTTGAACCGTTGAACCCCTAGGCTTTGCCTCTTGCAACAACAGCTGCGTCCAGAATTGGGGGAATCCATGTGCTGCCGTGGCCTGAATCAAAAACTGGGCGCTGGAAACAAAGGGACCGATGAGTCTAGGGGTAGCTTCCCCATTCTTAACCCAGGGATCCGGATCTTCCCAGAAACCCCAATCAAAAAACCCGGGGAAATAAATGGCGATGGGTTTTTGAAAAGAACGATGGCTGAAAAGAATGGAAGAATCAACCCCTAGAATCAGCTCAAAATCCGCGTCCAGGTTGGATCAGCTTCAAACGTCAAACGTCCCCGGCAGAACAGCCGAAAGGGGGAAGAAAAACACGAACACGAACTCGGACACCCAACAGAGACGGGAGGGTTTAGGATTACGCACTGCGCCTGTTGGGGCCTATGCTCAAATGGGTGGTGCACCTACCCCAAAACGGTACCCTTGGTTTTGACCCACGGTCACATGTTTCGGAGTCTTGGGATGTAGGTCGAGAGGTGTTTGGGCAGAGACTCAACAGCTTTGAGCTGTTGGGGAAATATACCAACCCCTTTGTGGGTGCCTCACTTTCAATCGAGTGGAGAAAAAGAAAAAAACGAAAACTTTTGGTTTGCCACGAACATGGTCTTCAACCCCAAAAAGCGCCAAAAAAGTCCGAAAAACGGAACTCTTCGGGAGCTCCCTTTTTTGGGCGCTCAGGGAAACCGCGTTTTGCCCCTCAAAGAGGAAACTCCGCCACAGCCGCACGGCCCCACTTGGCCCACGGCCGCGCAGCCAACTCCGAGCTCCGAGGCGCGGCGGCCCTCGCCCTCGCTCTCCGCCTTCCGCACCAAGGCGTCGTAGGTGCCCTTGCCGTAGGGCTCGTCGCTGTAGATCACAAAGGCCACCGGCACCTCACGCCATCGATCGAGCGAGCGCTCCAGCGCGCGAGCCAGCGAGCAAGATCGAGAGGCAAGAGCGGGGGGGGTGGGGAATACCTCTGGAGTCTTTCCTCTGACCCTCTAAAAATGGGGGTCATTGCCCCAAAGTAAGGGGTTGTTGACCCCTTTTGCTAGGGGTCATGGAGACTCTAGGTGGCGTTCCGTTGTCCGGGTGTTGGTGGAATGAACCGGATGCCGGGGATCCGAAGAAAGGAAACCGACCTTGGGGATGGTAGCGGTCACTCCGTTTCTGCCTCCCTGTAGTTTGTAGGGTCAAACAGCTTGCGATCGCCGCGGGTGTCGGCAGGGGCCCTGAGAGACGTGGAAGGACGAGAAAGACGCCATCCATCTGATTTGGCTTTCTGCAACATGGGCAGAGAGCTTAGAATAACTGAATAAGGGTACCCATTTTTTCTGTAGTCTATTTTAGTAGGGGATTCCCCTCCCAACCAAAAAAAAACGGTAAAAGTGCACCTAGCCGGGGGGCCTACAAGCGGTCACTTCACCGGGCCTGGAAGTAGATGATCCATGTCCACATGGCTTCCGCCTGGCCGGTGTCTGGCATGAGCGTCCGCAGGAAGTAGGGGTAGTCCTCCTGGCCAGGCACAATGACACAGAAAGCCAAACCCGCAGCAGCCAAAGCAAAGCACGAAAGAGCGCAAGAACCAATGGGTGTTTATGTCATTATGATGCTGTTAAAAATGTGTTTTTTGTAGAGCCCGATGCAGCGATCACTTACTCTCAGCTCACACTGTTGCGGAAACATGTGCAAAAATGCTGTCTGGGGCTCTTGCGAGACGTGACCGCTTTACAAACCACATGACGACAGTATCCGGAGCAAGAAAGCGCGTTTTGGGCGAAGCGCACGCTATGAGTGGCGAACGCCAAGCCGGCGCCGGCGCGTGATGCGCATGGGCTTCATGGCTCGTGACGAACGCAAGCTTTGCGCGGTTGGCAAATGAGTCACAATCAAAACCCGGTGTAAAAATGGTTGACCCAGAACCATGTAAGGAAATACGAAGGCGGCCGCAACTATTTATGGCTGGGATTGTCCCTTAACTAACCTTCATACCCGGGTTTTGATTGTGGCTCAAATGCTCCGTGGCGTCTCAGTGATATTCTAGTCGGCCTCTTTCTGCAACAACTTCCTGGAGTTGAACTCCTCTTGTTCTTTACAGACTGTTCCGTTTGCGGAAGGATTCTTGCGAATCCGTCGGCCGCGTGGAACTCGTAGCGAACGGGCTGGGCCACACCCACCCACACGAGCCGCGACTGCGCGCGGCAGGAGCGAGCCCCAGGAGGGCATCGGGAATCCCCCGCCTTGTTGGAGAGGCTGGGATTCGTGGAGCCAAAGGAGACCTGGCCGAAGCGATGCTGAACCGATTCTTCCCCCCTGTTGTTTTTTCTTCGTTTTTTTTTTGTTTTAATATGTATATATATATATATATATACATATATATATATATATACATATATATATATATGTATATATATATATGTATGTATATATATATATATATATGCATACTCTTTCAGTACTCGTTTCTCTATCCCCATCCCCCCCCTGGGATCGACTTTTTTTAGTACTCCTTTAGTACTCTTTTCTCTATCCTACAGGGGTGGGTTTGGTTTTTGTTTTACTCTTTGAGTACTCTTCTTCTACTTCCTCCCTTGGGATCGACTCTTTTTAGTACTCCTTTGGTGCTCTTTTCCTCTTTTCTCTATCCTGCAGGGGTGTTGTTTTTTCCATAGTACTCTTTTAGTACTCTTTTTCTATCCTACAGGGGTGGGTGTTTTTGTATCAGGGGAATTTGGTACTTGTTTAGTATTTTTGGCAATATTTTCCTACAGCTGTGGGTCTCTTGTTTTTCCTTTGGGGTCAAAGAGTGGTTCAGTTCCATGTGGCCAGTGGTCTCCTTTTGGTTTCCCCAAGGTGGTGCCAACCCCGGTGGTCCGAAACCATGTGTGTTTTGGGACGGCCAAGAGACGTAGAGACGTTGCCGCTGACCCTTGAACACCAGGAAGGGAAGCCACAAAAAGTAACACACACAAAAGCTGCAAGACCACCCCAAGCAAAAGGTCGGCATCAAACTGGATCATTCCCACATAGCTTTGGCTGCTTCTCGCTGTCATTCGCTCAAACTTCATGCCTGTGAGATCGCGTTTGCATATGTAAGCAGATTACACGAGATACCCAGAGAAGCCGTCATGCCCAACAGGCAAAACTGTGTTGGGAAACCAATGTCCTCAGAAAGAGTTTGTCTGCTATTTCAATATGTCAGGCAAACAATCATTCTGCATGAAAAAAGTACCCGGGACACTACCCTTTCGAATGAGTACACCCACTGAACTTCCTAACAGGTTTCGGAAGATTGTGGTCAGTTCACCTGGTGCTTCTCTTGAAGTGAAAGTGTGAAAGGTTGAGACCATTCCCCGTGTGATGCACGTTTGTCGATCTGATAGACGAAAAGAAAGCAAGTCTAGAAAAGAACGTCAACACCAGCCACCCAGAATGCCACCTTCCACAGGCCTTAAATGGCACAAAAACGGACACCGTTGCATAGGTCCACCGAACAACAGCCCTGTGAAATACATGTGCCTTCATCTAGTTTCACGTCTTACAAGTCATTTCCTGACTGGACAAAAAACGCCCAAACTGTTTCTTTGCCTCTGCGGATTTCCCCGAAACCAGAATCTGTGCCACATTTTGTGGGTACCGTTTCTTTTTTATTTCCCCGAAAGACCAAACACAGGGCACTCCGTGTTTTCGGGGTCTGTGTGGTTCCACCTTGAGCCGGGTTGCATTCGAAGAGGGGTTCTCAAAATTAGGTTATGTTCTTCTTTCTTCTTTCTTTTTGGCAGGGGGGTGGGGGGGATTCCCGTTTTGTGTATTTCTTGGAGCGGACCTTGGGCCGTAGTATTTGCAGGATTTTTACCTGGGTTTCCACATTCTCTCATGGCTTATATGGCTGTGGGTGAAAAATAATGGTACCATTTTGGGGTAGGTGCACCACCCATTTTAGAACCTATATTAGCGGTTGGATTGGGATGGATGCTCACTGGGGGTACGGGCTTTGGATTTTGACCCATGGCCATATGGCTATCCCGGTTTAAACCAGGTAGGACCTCTCACGGCCGTAACTCTCAGGCGCTGCTCAACCTCGGGTGAGAGCTGCCGTTGTGGGTCGCTCACTCCGTCAGACCGGCAGATCCTTTCCCAAATGGGGAGTTGCCCATGTACTGTACTGGCATGCAACGTAACGTATAATTATATACATTTACATGTTGATTTATATATATATATAATATTTTATGTATAATATATGTATATGTATATATACTATTATCTATATTTGGTGCCCTTGGTGTCTGGCTTACGCGTGCACAACTTGAAGTTGTTTCCTCAACTTCACTCCTTCGCTCCCCGAAAACTCGGCCTGGGGGATCTTCTTGGCCGCGGCAACGTTGGCCACCTGCATGGAGATCGCCTGCGCAACTCGGTGGGGCCCGGATCGCCAGAGCCTAAGGAAGTGGAATGAAGTCGTGAAAGAAAAGAGGATGGGCCGGGTATGTGAAATTATTTCGCCCCTGGTATTAAACCCCTTTCCCCCCCTTCAATCCCCGCACCCCCGCCCCCCCCCCCAAAAAAAAAAAGAGCAAAAAGAGCAACAACGACTCATGCATGCCTTCTTTGGAGGAAACCAGGTTGGGCGGGGGTTAGGCGAGGAAAGAAATATCATGAAGCACCGTTTGCCGCTCGGAAGTCGCAAGGAAAACCCGTGGGATCCCAGACAAGTGTCAAGCAACCAACACTGAAAATAATTTCTTTGGAACCAACTGGGGTTTAGTGTTTACAGGGGAAAAAAGGAAAAATTCTATGAACATGAAAAAAATGACTTTGGCGAGAAAAAAAAAAGGATTCCACGGGAACTTGGCACTTTTTTTACCACAGGAACTGTCAAGCAAGCAACTTGGCAAGTGGCAAGCAAGCAAAACCACTTCGCAGGAGGAAGAAAAAAGAGAAGCGGAATTTATCATAAGGGGGACCCATGCTCGGGGGTGCCGGGGGAGCAGTCCGGCGACTTCAACTCTTGCCATTAGAACCGGACAAAAAGGGATTTGCCATTTGCTGCTGAACTTGGCGGCTTCGCGACCCGAAAAGTTGCGCTGACTTCTGGGTCCAATCGGAAGACTCGAAGACTCGAAGAACCGAGCCGTTTCAAGTCCAAAAGGCTCAGGTCCACAGATCCGTTGCCAAAGAGCCATAAAAAAGAAATGTTTAGCCCCTAAGACCAAAGGGTGCAGTGGCCTTTTGGAAACATAGATGGGTTTCCCTGGAAATGAAGCCCCAGCTAACCCAGAACCCATGGGCTCTTAACCAGCCAAAAAGGACACCTACTGTGGATGGTTGCAAAATCCATTTGGCACCACCGTCCAGGATGATCTGATTCCCCTGCAAATACCAACAAACCATTGATTCAACCATGGTTTCTTAAAGTGGTGCGACATGGATTTCGTAAACATCCACACCTATGAAAGGGCTAGGTCCTCCAGTAGAGAGGGCCACCTCCCCCAAACTCCAACCCCCGCGCCGAGTGGAAGCCGCCGATCAGCGCGCTCACGGGGGTGCCGCCGTCCAGGCCCAGGAGCATGTCGATGAAGCTAGCGATGCCCACGGAAGACCTCGGGCCGTCGCGGCGGCGGCCGCGGCTCGGGCTCAGGTTTGGAGCCCAAGCGGGGTTGGGGGTTTGGGCGGAAGGGGAAACCAATCCAAAGAACTGGGGGTTCAAATCACTAAAGGTTCAAATCCCCAAGTAACTCGGGGTTCAAATCCCCAGAAATGCGGCTTGAAATCGGGGTACCCCAAAAAGTGGTTCCCCTCTTTCCAACAATCATGACGGTGGACCGCTCGCTTCCCGGAAAGGAAAGTGGTCTTCCAAAGTTTGGATTCCAAAGCCTTCCTGTCAGCTTCCATAAAGATGCAGTTCTTTGCGGGATGCCCGTTTTGGAGTTGTTTGAACGTGGGAAAACCACATTTTGGGGGGGGTCCGCTGTTTTGAGAAATGCGTCTGCTGTTGGTGTCCCTTCAGAAATTACTCCAAGGGTACCCTCAAAAAGGAACCACCCCCAAATGGGCGTTAATTCCTTTTAGCACATGGACTGGAAGATCAGGGTCTGACTGGATCCCCCAAGTTGCGATTTACTGGTGGTTCACAAGGGGAATTGCAAGAGGCTCAGTCCGAAAACCGAAAACCGAAAGACTTTGACCATCCCAAGGCAAAAGAGCCACCGAAAGCGCTGCTTTACCCAAAAGAGCAGCTCCCTGGGTTTCGTCGGCTGGGTGATGCTTCAAGCAACCCCCCCTAAAAGACAAACCCACCTCGATGGAGCGCCCAACTTCTGAGCGCCCCTTCTGAGCACATCCGTCGATCTCTCGGCCGTGGTTTGGGGCCGGGGATCTCCGCCAACCCTTATGCATCGGCTGGGTTCTTTCAACCCCGGGAAGCCACGGAAGTCCATAGGTTTTTCCCTTTGGGGGGCAAATAGACTGAGGGGGGCTATTGGGAGGGAATACGGCCGAACATCAACCAGGGGTTCAACCAGTATCAAAGTCAATGGGTTTCCCTGGTAGATGATGAAACCACCAGGTGTTCTCCAGGAAAAAACGCCCGCTATTTTTTTCGAGCAAAGACAACCAAAAAGCACACCTATGCATGGAACCTGATTCACCAGGACTGCCAAGTCCGAAAGTTTCCGCCCGGAAAGCTCTCGTGTGCTGTTTGCTTTTGGAGCGGGTGGACGGCCCTTCTGACTCTGCCGCAATTACGCGGCGACCTCTGGAATTGTTCTGTTTGGCACCTGCCTATTCGCAGGTTCCCTCCATTTGTTGGCACAGCCGTACAGTCAGCACTTGATGTTCCAAACTAGGTGTTCGGACAAGCTAGTAAGTTGGTAGTAGCAGGAGCTAGGCGGGCAGCTTGACAATTGATTGTCTGAAAATGTTCGCGGAAGACAAAACAGGGGGCCGATTCCCGATAGTACCCTGGGGTCCAGTTGCCACCATTAAAACAATCGGGGTCATATAACCACCATTGTTTGCCGGGGTTGTCATCATCCAAATTGGGTCAACCATTTCTTTTGATGGGGGTTGAACGCGAGGGAGGAGTTTCCGATAAATCATGGTTTCTCACGAGTGCCATGTGGAAAAAAGATACAGGAGTGTAAATATATGGGGGAACCCTCAATGAGGACAACATGTTTAGGAAGCCCGCTCAAGGTCAAAATGGTCACAAGGCCAACCCTGATGTCCGTGTTCAATTTGCCTGTTCCTTGGGGGTCTAGTTTAGGAAGCCGGAAATTTGCTCCACCCGGAGTCAAACCACTATGGGAGAGGAAAGGCAACACCAATCTAGGACAACAACAAGCAAAAACCCAAATTTGGTACACTGCCAAATTGAAATTTGCTTCTGTAAGACAGAAGCAATTGGAGAAACAAACATGGCCGGCGATCAAACCCAGTAGCAAAGGCACAGACCCGATTTGCGAGGGACCCGGTGGTGATTGGGGATGACCCCTAAGACACAAACATCCAAAGGCACCCAAAGACACCCAAAGAAACACGAGAAACAGAGGGACCACACTCCAAGTGGGAAATCGATCAGGCTCTTGGCCCGCGAAACCAGAAAGCTGCCTGCCAAAGGGGTGGATCATTTCTGGTTAGCCCCAAGAAAAAATGATTTGTTGTTAACCCCAATAAAATCGATCGCTCCATATTATCCCGCAGAAAAGCTCCTTCGCTGTGATTTCCGGGCCGAGGTGCTGGGAGTTGCTCGTGTGCACGCGCACGGAGATGTTACGCAGATCAGGATGCCTCATGGAAGAGTTTCAGGCTAAAACTGGAGGCGTGTTCTGGTGTCCTTTTCTTTTCCATACTAAATACGCAAATACCAGCCAAATTGTTTTCATTCCATTCCAAATAATTAAATTCCAATAGTCAAATAGTGAAATTCCATATCCATACTGATGGCATGGCCCAAAAATGAAATGTTAAAGAGTCGAATCTCCTTGGCAAGCGCAGCCCCTAGCAGGGGAAAAGGAAAAACTGGCCCCGTGCATTGTCAACCCCTTGCCCCGCAATATGTGTTATCCCTTAAACAACAAACAACGCTTGAGCCCCCCCCAAAAAACAATGGAAGGAAAAAAAGAAGTTCAGCTTCCCCGAACTCATGTGTTCTTACACATGTCTCTTGTCTAAGCTGCCCAGAATTCAATCCCACCAAGAAACAAAAAGGTACTTGAGGCCAGCCAAATGTGAGCCCAAGACTTTATTTCAGCCCACCAAAATTCAAGTCTAACAAGCCAAAGGGTGAGAGAACAGACTGGAAACGAAGTGGGAACTCAAATCTAGACATACTTTTAGTCAAATGGAAACTTGAATCCAATCTTAAAATGAAGCTCCAATACTAAAACAATTGAACTGGTCAAGATATGAATGAAGCTCCAATACTAAAACAATTGAACACGGAACTGGACCTGAAGATATTCATCACGGCAACTGCTTGGGGGGGAGGGCTTTACTAATCCCAGCACCCCTCGGCAGGACCCTCAAAAGCCTGAACTATGTGCGGCAGCCCTAGAAATGGTTGTTTCTTGTTCCTTTCGGAGAAAGCAATGTGTTTCGTAAATTCCTGAACAAAACTTGAGCAGGGAGAACACAAACATCTGAGAATGGCCCCTTCAGAAGGTGTGCCCGTTCCAGCTGCGGATCTCGGAAAACGTGGTCTGACCCTTACCCTAGGGTTCGACCCTTAAAAGAACGGCAAGGAAACAATTCACATGACACTCCTTCAGTAAACATTTTTGGTTATAGTTTTCAAATGGTTGTTTGAACCCCAGGTAAACCTAGCATTGTTCCCTGGCCAAACACACGGAGCCTCTTGGTCCCTTCACCTCTTTGCTACATGTCAGGGTGCCGATCTCATAAATCGGGCAACTGAACGGCCAGAGCACCACCAGAGCGCACACAGAAAGCACCCGAACCGCCCCCGCCGCTGTAGAAGTAAGAACCCCCTACAGCTAGCGCTCGCAGATCCCTGCGGCGGCGGCTTCCGAGCCGCCGAGAAAGGCGGTTCGGACAACTCTCTTCCTGAGTGGGCCGACCCAACAAAAAGAGGCCCAAACTCCAAAAGCCCAAACCCCAAAGACGACCGACCCAAAAAAAGGCCCAAACTCCGAACTGGTTTTATTTGCCACTACAATCGCCCAAAAGGCCCAAACTCCAAACTTGTTTTGTTTGCCTCTAAAACAGGTTTCCCCAAAAAAGGGTGCTTCAAGTCCTCGACCTCGCGCCCTGAGGATTCCTCTCGAGGCGCGGGTCCGGGATCTGGACGATGGGAGGGCCATGCTTCGCCTCGGGAAAAAGCGTGGCGCAACATCGGCCCCCCCAACACGCCTGGTGTTGGCTTCATGTCGGTCCATTCAAATGAAGCGGTGAACACATGGGGAATTGGGTCAACAAATTGGATGTTGCTGAAATGAATGTACCAAAATGCAGCAAAAGGTAAATGGAACCAGAGACTAAAACTTAAAACCCGCGTAACCCCCAGCTCTTTAATTTTGAGCCACACCCATGTCGGTCCATTCAAATGAGTCAAAGCGGTGAAGACATCGGGGAATTGGTCAAAACGGTCGTTGAGCCATCATGCGGAGATTTCGGGGTAGGAAGATTAAGGCAGAACTTGCCTCAAAATCATCCTCAATGAGCCAGAAGCTCAAAATCGTCCTCAAAACGGACTTGGGTGGAAGGTTCAGGGAGAACTTGCCATACATGGGGCGACTTTCACTACCGAGCGGTTTGGCGTGTGACTCAACTGTTCTTCTGCCTCCGTTTCCCAAGAAACTAAAACCCCGCACAGGGCGCCGGCACCTCCCCCCCCCAAAAAAAAGACAAGAAGCCTACGGATCGACCCGGCCTGCCACAAACCCTCACCTTTTCCGAGCTGAACCTGGCCTCATGATTCTATGGTCAAAGTCACCCTCTGTGATGGGTTCAAGGGAAACAACCCCCATTGGCTCACTTTGAAAACCCCCAGAAACAGCCCAAGGGACATGCAAGATCCAGCTGCCCCACTCGGTTTGGAGCTCGGTTTGGCTGGTTTCCCATTTGCCCGTTCGAACCAGGGCTAAAACCCCGGATCGTGTGGGTTCCGAAGATCGGCTCACCCGTTTGCGGATGGTCAGGGAACTAAAGAAATCGAAAAAAAAAAAAAAAAAAAAAAACGCCACTCTGAGGGCACTTGAGAAAGCGTCCGTCCATGCTCAAATCATTGCCTCAGGAAGCCATCCCTCCAGATTGACCCGACGACAAAGAACTCCCAAAGCCCGTTTTGCTGGTTTATTTCCTATGATGGTCGATCCAGGCCTTGGCCCTTTTGAAAACAAGTGGAACCAACGAGAGTGGAACCAGCGGGGATCCGGTTTCGCTGGGAGTCGGACACCCAACGAGCTAGGCATAGGTCCGTCCCTTTGGGGGCAAATAGATGGGTTTCCCTGGTAGATGAAACCACCCGGTGTTCTCCAGGAACCGCCCGCGATTTTTTCTAGCAAAGACAACCAAAAAGGACACCTACGTAACTAGGTTGCTGCAATCGTGCGGGGTTCATGACTAAGATGAGGTGTCCCTTTTGCGCAGCTTCCTCGACAGACCTTCTAAGCGGGCAACCAATAAGTGTAAAATGGGATGAGGTTCCCAGGGTGGGGCAAAAAAAGGTCCCAGAGTTCCAATTGGCAAATCAAAAGGAGGAAAACTGAAGGATGGCCACCCCGCTTCCCCAATCATCAACAGTCCAGGTTGAATCTGGCAACCCCGCGAGTTGCCCAATCCCTACGCTGCAGTCCATCCCAGCGGCAATCAGCTCAGGCTCGAAATTCTTCCGCCAATCGATGTCGAAGCATACCTAACAGCCACATGCTCAAAGTACCACCCTATTCTGTTCAAAGTCCCCTTAAGTGGTAGCTTTAAGGATAAAGAGAAAGGAAAAGGTTCACATCTGGGCCCGCAAAGCCGCGTGTCCATTTTGGCTCCTTCGACCTTGAGCGAAACCAGTTCTCCAAGGTCTCCACTTCGACTTCCAGCTATGTTTCTGCTTTTCCTCAAACTACCGGGCTCTGTCTTTGAGGCCGTCCAGTCCATGCAACCCACAAGGTCCCTTCAAAAGGAACCTGGTCTTCCAGTGGAAGACTCTGCCATGACCTTTTCGCATGAGGTTCCACGTGACGTGCCCTGTTCAATGAAAAGCCCTTTCCGGATGCCCCGGATGTGCCGAAGCCATGCCGGCCGGCGAGCGCCCCCAAGGACCCAGGGACCTGGAAATATACATATATGTATATAATAAAAAAAAAATGGAAATGGATCAAACACCTTTGGGTCGAAACCTCAGCTTCGGACTCGTGAGGCTAGCCCTTTGCAAACCCACTCACTGCACACCGAATCTTCCGAAGGCTCAGAGAATTTCCTGGGCCAGAGACGGGCCAAATGAACCGTGGAATCCTTTCGAACGCCACTCCTCGTTCTTTGTTTTGTTCTTCTTCTTCTTCTTCTTCTTCTTCTTCCTCTTCTTCTTCTCCTTCTTATTATTAGTCTTCTTCTTTTTTGGGGGGGTCCTCTGTGAATCAGCCAGGGTTTGCTATTCCCGGGTTCCCATAACCCGTCCGAATCACAGATGACCTTCTGTGCAAAACAGATGGGTAATCTAAACCACTGGGAACCCATCCATTTCATTACCCAAACTCGCCGATCAAAAGGACATGGTCCGAACTTGCAACCGATTGCCTTACCCCTGAATGTCAACCACCATTCAAACAAGGCCTCGTGCAACCCTCATTGTTTAAGAATTGTCATCATAACTAGGTCCTCCAGTAGAGAGGCTAGAATGAGGGTACCCTTTTGTCTGTAGTCTATTTCAGTAGGGGAACTCTCCCCCCAAAAAGGGTAGAAGGGCACTACTGGGGGATCTAGATACTGGGGGCAAGGAACCCTAGGGGTAGATTTCAACTGCAGCTTTTGGGCAATTTGTCCATCCAGAACCTGTGGGTTGTTGGTGGTTAGGTGGTTCGGTTTCCCAATTTAATCCCAAGAAGAGCCAGCTCCAAACCAAAAATCCAACCAAAGCACCAGCTCCAGTACCCCCGAAGGAAGGGTGATCACTGAGGCACAAAACCTCCAAACCACCCACACTTGGTTGATGTTGGAAGGGGAGCAAACATATATACTTTATCAGGAATCGGTTGGATTTCCACCACTAAACCACAATAAGCCAAAATGTAAAATGTTTCCCAATACCAACCATGGATTGTGGGTGAGCTCGTTTTACCCGCCCAACTAAATGCCGAACGACTGGGCTGATCCAGGGATTCGTCGTTGGCCCGGACTGCAAGCCATCCTAGAAGCTATCAGGAAAGCTCCCACCCACACAACGAACGGAGATCCAAAGGAGGCGCTGTGGCCGCCAAGTAGGTGGGGGAGTTGGACGTAATCGGCGCCAGCACCCCGACGGCGAACTCCGCGCCCAGCCTTCGAGCGCTCCGAAAATCCGGAGAAATCCGGATCGGTGCTCCGATGGGGCGTGGGTCCGACCGGTTTTTGGACACTACCCTTTTTGGGGGTTGGCTTAAAGGGAAAATACAAGGGGAAACCACTTCTCTTTTTCGTTGGGGGGGGGCCGAAAAAAAAGAAGGACACACTGATTCAGCCCCAATTTAGCAAATGGCAAGGACCCCACTTAGATGAGATGATGACAATCCTTAGGTAAACAAGGGTGGTTGTTTTAATGCTGGTTTGAATCCCAGGGGAAAAAAATGTCTCAAGATTTCGGCGACCCCGACCCCAACGGAGCATTTCCTTTTGCAGTCAAATCGGGGTTTCCAAGCAAAACGAGCGCATGTCGCCATGAAACTCGATTAGGGACCTTTAATGGATCCCTGTTAAAATTAATCGCCGCTGTGGGTGTCCCCTCTTGCTTCAACTAAACCGGGAGCCCCCATAAAGACACTCAAGCTGCAGGCTTTCCTTGAACTGCACCGAAAGAACCCGAGACCCGAGCAAGTCGGCGGAACACGCAGTTCCACGGTATTCTGCGCAAACTATGGTCAGTAACCCAGAGGAAATAAGGGTGCCCCAACAAAAAGCACCTTGATTTTGGGTAACGTCGGATTGTTGGTGGTTAAATGAAACCAAAGATGGCCGAGAATGTTCAAGGGTCTTCAATGTTTGGAAACATGCACACACCTGTCAACTGGCTCGTGCAGCCAAACATCAAATGGGTATGTCCAAAGAACCTTGGGCCCTTGCAGAAATGCACACTGCGAGGCAGGTGTGGGGCGAGGTGTGTCTTGCTGTTCTTTGCTGTTGCTTGACGCTCGCACACATCCTTTGCATGCCATTTCTCCTCCCTGGTTCTCAACAAGCTGACAGTCAACGAAGCATGATACTGTGGGTGGACAACATCCTTCACGTAGGTGGTATGTGGTTTATCCCAATTGCAGGGTTTCTTTTTGGGTGGTACCTGGGTGGTACCTGGGGTGGTACCTGGGGTGGTACCTGGGGTGGATTTCTCCAGGGTAATCAAAAAGGACCCATGTGGCATACCTGCACTTTTAGGTACATGGGTGTGATTTTAAATGGGGCACTCCTTGTACATTTTTTGGGCGGGAATCATCTTTGAGGTGGTTCCATATGAAAATTCTTAGCCAAATAGGTCCAACAGCGGGCCAGTGATAAACGAGTCGCAATCAAAACCTAGAACCATGTAACGAATCAAAAAAAAAGCGGATATGCGCACCCATTTATGGCAAGGGGTTCACTAGCCTTCACCTGCCCGAATAGAACTTTGAGCACGTGGCTCAAAACGCGCCAACACTTCCCCAGTCCCCGGCTTTCAGCTCTCAGCTCGCTCCAAGGCACGCGTGGACCAGCAGAAGCCCCAAGAAAGCGACCGCGACATGCGACATCAATTGATGGGGCGAGGGTTCGGTGTCCAAATATGGACTGCGGGCCCAAGGGGTGGTCATTCTGTGGCTTTGGCTTTGGTCAAAACTCGTACCACCGAATGGGCGGCGTGTCCTTTTTTTGGAGTTGCCCCAGGTTTGTGGGGGGAAAAAGAAAAAACACATTGCTGGTGAGTTGGCCCGTGCTCCTACGCTCGTGACTCGGCTTGAAATGCGGACATGCGGCCGGCCATGTGGGTCAATGCGACGCGCACGGATGCGGTTGTGCGCCCCGAACTGTGACACAGAGCAATCTGAAATATGCGGGAGAAAAGACCACTCTAGTGCATTCCATCGAACCTTTTCTTGATGGTGCCATCGTTTGGGTTGGCTTTTCCTCAAAAACCAAAAGGAAAACGTTGCCATTTCGTGGATCCCTTGGTGAGGCAAACCTGGGGTCGACCTGCCGGTCACTGCCCGATCAAACCAGTCTGGTTCAGCTGAAACCCCGCTTGGCGGACTTAATGTTAACATCGGATTAATCAGGAGGACCGGACTAGTCAGGGGTGGAGTAGGGAAATCATCTTTTTTAAGGGGTTCCTCTGACTAGCAGGCTCCGGATTCATCCAAAGCCATCATGATCTTTCAAACAAGTTTCCTATTTCGGGCCAAGCGATGCCAACTTCGGAGTCGTCAGAGCTCCTCTTTTTCATGAAACGGTTTATAGGGGGTGTCCCAAGAAATCCAGCGACTTGAAACCAAGCGAACCAGTTGGACCCACAGCAATCGAGGGAGAGCTGGGTCCCTGGACCCTTGGACCCCGGCCTTTTCCATACCGGGTACAGGAAACCAGCCTGGAAAGTGGATAGCCAAGACACGAAATGCCAGGTGACTAGGTCCTCCAGAGCTTAGAAAAAGTTGGTGCCACCCATTTTTTCCGATTCGTCTATTGCAGTAGGGGGTTCCCCCCTCCCAACCAAAAACGCAACGGTCAGAGGGCACCTTGGGGGAATGTGCTGAGAAGCGCCTGGCACCTGAAGCCCACCTCGGAGAACTCAGCCCAATCGCAATCTCCAACCCGGTGGGACGGTTGCATGGCAGTGACAGCCACCCATTTTTGTGTTTTGAGCGCGCAAGGACATGGCCAAGGCTCCTTACCCATACTCATGGAGTCCGTATGTGGATCGTTGGAATCTCAGAATCCCATCCTTGCGCGCAAGGTGTCTTGACCCTCACGGTTGCCCTTCTGGCAGCATGCGAGCCAAATCAACACACAAAAAAAGAGATCGACCCAAACAACCCAAACAACCCAAACAACCCAAACAACCCAAACAACCCAAACAACCCAAACAACCCAAACAACCCAAAATCCAAATTTGGGTGTTTCTCAACATGGTGGGCCCGTTTTCGCTGGTTCCCAAAAAAACGGGAGCCCCCATTTTGGAGGAGCTCCCAACACCCCGCCGAGCGCCTCCGGCGCCTGCTCGGGACACCGCAGCCGGAGCCTCTCGCTTGGCTTTGGCAAAGTTGGCCGCAAACCTGCTTCCCTAAGGCTCACTTGCTGAGTGGATGGCCCAAAAAAAGTTCAAACTTTATATTTACCACTAAAATGGTCCAAACCCAAAAAGTTTAAAGTTCATGAACTCAGGAAGTGAGGCTCCCGATGATTCTTGGGCCCGAATGGGTCGCTTTCCAGGGCCCTCGAAGAATGGGTCAGTTCATTGGGCCCGGAGGCCTGCATTGGGGTCATGAGCCTTAGGAATCAATTGGAATCATAAAAGCTGCAGACCCAAATGAATAAGAAAGAAGGAAAAAATAGTTGGACAAAAAGTGCCCAGTAGTCAACCCTTTAGTTGGAAAAAATACAGTAGACATGCTCAGCAGTGAAATCGATTCCCTTTGCTCAGATGCCCAGTATATGTTCTATGGGAAAAAAAAGGAATCGGCATCCGATGTGTTTTTCGGTTGGTTGGCTTCAAAGGAATCGGACAACTTCCCAAAGAAAGGAAAATGACGCAAAAGGGCACCACTGGGCAACGAGAGTTTGAATAGTAAGAGCCCATACCGGGGACAATGACCATCCCTAACCCAGGATCTTTTGACCAACACAAACTCAGATGTTGATTTTGTTGGTTGTTTTTTTTCTCTTTTACTCAAATGTGTTTTTTTCTCGATGGTGATGATGATTCACCCCTGGAAGTTGACCATCCCTGCGAAGCTGAAGAGTCTCATGGCGAATTTAACACAGACTCAAAGCCAAACCCACGTGAAGGTCGTCAGAGGTGGCCAAAGTTTCTATCTACCACTAAAACTCACTTGCTGAGTGGATGGCCCAAAAAAAGTCCAAACTTTATATTTACCACTAACATGGTCTTCCCAAAAAGTTTAAAGTTCATGAACTCAGGAAGTGAGACATTTTAGGTGTTTTTTGGTAAAGTCGTTGACGGAACTCGGGGAGTGAGTAGATGACTTGACAAGTGGTTTCAAGGGTGGCCGAGGTTCCCGGCCGATGGTGAGTTAGGCCTTTGCCCAAACTGGAAAGAACGAGGCCTGGCTCCTTTTCATACCCAATTTGCTGCGGAGACGGCTGGTTGCTTCGCGTGTGGATCATTCTACAGGGATCCGGATGCATGAAAAACACCTGAACATTACAACTTGAAAATGGTGGTGTCCCTTTATTGTGGGAAAAGTGATATGTTTGAAACGGTCGCAAAATGTATCTTTTAAGGAGCCCTGTTCTACTTAGGGAAAATACCGGCCCGAGAATTGCAGCTGGAGGGCCAGCAGGTGCATCGCCCGAGAAAAGTGCAGCAAGCGCATTGATAACGAGGGCTGCTCCGATGCAAAGTTCAATCAGCTTCCCCCTGATTTGGTAACTTGAATCGGTGTTTCGGAAGTGGTTCCTGAGTGGTTCTCCGTTTACCCTCTGGCAGAAGGGGTTCAAATCCTACTCCAAAACACTAATCCAAACCACCAACTCAGTGAGTCACAATCAAACCTGGCACCAAAGGGATCCAGCCAACATGCAAAAACTCAAGAAGGCGGCACCTATCTCTGAATCCCAGTCCGCCACCCTTCATCCCAGGTCTTGAGCAAGTGGTCCCAAACAAAAACAACTAGGAAGATGGAGTTTTGTCATTTGAGCTGAGTGGTTCACCTGAACCGAGTTGGTCCCAAAAATATCCTTCCTCAGCCTTTCGGCTCGGAGACCTCTCGTGCGTCGAAACCGCTGAGCTGCCCGGCTTCACCTTCCGCGGAGGATCCCCCGCCTCAAACGAGCGCCGAACAGCACAGCGTGCCGTTGGGGGGGGGTTGGGGGGTTGGGGGGTTGGGGGGTTGGGGGGTTGGGGGGTTGGGGGGTTGGGGGGTTGGGGGGTTGGGGGGTTGGGGGGTTGGGGGGTTGGGGGGTTGGGGGGTTGGGGGGTTGGGGGGTTGGGGGGTTGGGGGGTTGGGGGGTTGGGGGGTTGGGGGGTTGGGGGGTTGGGGGGTTGGGGGGTTGGGGGGTTGGGGGGTTGGGGGGTTGGGGGGTTGGGGGGTTGGGGGGTTGGGGGGTTGGGGGGTTGGGGGGTTGGGGGGTTGGGGGGTTGGGGGGTTGGGGGGTTGGGGGGTTGGGGGGTTGGGGGGTTGGGGGGTTGGGGGGGTTGGGGGGTTGGGGGGGGAGTGTGGGGGGGAGTGTGGGGGGTGGGGGGGAGTGGGGGGGGGGGGGGTGTGGTTGTAAGGGGGGGGGGGATTGTGGGGGGGGCACAGAGACCACCGAAAGGCGGCAAAAAGGCCGTTCAACAGGCTCTCGCTGAAAATTCCTGAGAAAGTCTAATAACCAAAGGCCCTTCAGCCGCAATCAACCGCTGGGCTGCGCGCTACGGGCTCTCGTGAAACCAGGGAAACCAAAGTTTCAGGTGCAGCTGTCACCTTTCTACCTGCGGGTTCCCAAAAATCCAACGGGTCTTGCTAGCAGGGTCTCAGTTGCTCCCCTTGTCTTGGGGACCCAGAAATACAAGGCCGGCAATTTGGGACCTTGGCTAAAACAGACCCAAACCTGGAAAATCGTAGGGACAAAAGAAAGGTCGAAAGGTCGGCGTTGGGTCCCCAAACTCCGAGGTCGCTCGGGGATTCTGCCGAGCCGGTTTTTTTAATGCAAACCGACAGGATCTATCGACAGCTCGTGGCAATTGCCCACCCACATGGAAGGCCACAGCGCCCCCCTTTGGAATACAGTGGTCCTTCCGGAAAATTGGAGACATGCAGTTCCATGTTTGTGGGAGCGTACCAATGTTTATGATCAAGATTCGTCCCCAAAGAGCCAAAGCCGACCAGAAAGCAAAGCGGTTGAACATGCTTCGCTACACCCACAAGACCCTCTGTGAAAACGGCAAGCTGCTTGCACCAACTTGTAAGCTGAAAGCGTCTGGAAAGGGCCGAAGAGGTGAGCTTTGCCTTGCCTCGTAGAGCGATTCGCACGGGTCAGGTCAAGCCAGGTCTCGCCCAGATTAAATCTGCGGAACAGAATCACGACGGAAGTAAATCCCAGAGCGGCTTGGAAAATGTTGATTCGGCTGCCACAAATGGGCAGCTCGGGGCATGTCCACGCTTTTGACTTGCTGGTGCGATAGGTAGGGAAAGGGAATGCACCCAGGCCCCTTAAAGGAAACAACAAGGGATGGTTTATAGGGGGTCATTCCTTCATTCCCTGCTGAGCACCAGCAAGTTGAGGCTACCCCTTTGCGGAAGACTACGATCAAGCCCCTTGAACAGGCATGGGCAACCTTCGAACCTCAGTTTTCAGCCAAGCAAAATCCCGTGATTTGTTGTTCCCAATCCACCCCCCCCCTTTTCCCGCAACCCTGTTGATCCGGACGGTCTTGTTGTTTTGCCTTCTCAAACCTAAGGCTTGATTTTTCACCGCCCGAGCCGAACCCCAAACCCCGAACCCCGGAGTCACCACCGTGCCCCCCCTGCCACAGTCAGGGCGTCCAAAGTCTCGACTTTTCACCCATGGACTTCGGATCCCGCTCGAGTCCCGAGTTGAAGGTATATATAAATAATTCCGTCCCATTTGGGAGGCTTACGAATTATCCTTCCGAGAGGGGGGTCCTCCTCACTGAGCAGGGTTTGGGATGCCCCGGGGTCGACAACCTCGGGTGCATGCCATGGGACCTGACAGAGGGCTCCTGGGATAAGCTCTGAAAGCTTGATGCCTATTGCTGGCAGGTGAGTGGCAAAACAAGGATCCAATCCGGACTTGCACCTCACTTTTCAGGTTGGTGGCAAAGTAAGAAGTATCCAACTCAATTGCCTTCAACATGTGGGTATGGGTCAAAATTAAACCACCTGAAAAACCGCAGATTTTAGTCCTTGGCTCCATTTACCAGGGGTTCCAACCCATGTTGGGGTTGCCCCATTTTTGACCCATAGCCATGTCTCCTTCTTTTCGTAGCACGTGTTGGTTTGTGGTTTTTTGAAGGCAAACCTCTTGAACTCACCGGCTGCACCGTTCAGGTCCCGGCATTCCCGGCGGCCGCCGCTTCTTCCGCATAGCCCCCTGAGGCAGATGTGCGCATGTGTGTATCTGATCAATGCGTTTATGTAGACAGCAATACATATCTATCTCCATATCTATGTCTGGCTGTGTATACATGTGTACATATATATATATATATATATATGTCATTATATACATGTATATATATATATGTGGTAATGACCATCGGTGTATGTATATATATATATACATATATTTGTATCTACACCCACACCTATATGTATGTATATCTATAACTATACATATAAGTTTGTGTAAGGCCGTGCTTATATGTATATATATATATATATGTATGTGTGTATGTATATATATATGAAGATATATAGATATAGACATGTATCGATATGTAGCCATGTATCAATATATCCATGTATGGTTATCTCTATGTCTAAATATCTATATATGGTACCAGAAACCCCTCGAAGAAGAACGTGTTCTGTAGCTTTCCCAAGAGATGGGCCGCAAAGGACAGGGCTGGTGTGTCTTCCAAAAACACAGCAAGTCGGGGAAAGCTGTCAGAAGCCTCGCGGCTGTGGTTGTCAAACATCGGGTGACCCCAAAATGAGTTGCCCTGGTAAATGGAAATAACTACTGAAACCTGCGGTCTGGCGAAAAAGTTTAAGCCCACATGTCTGGGAGTTTTCCGAGCGATTTTGCTTCATGCTGCATGCTGTCTGTTTCCTACGGTTTTTTGGGGATCCTCTTTGAAAAGTGGCCATCTTCGAAACGAGCCATGGGGAAGAGGCATGCTTCGAAGCCACCGATCTTAGCGTCCGCTGGGTTTTGGCCACGCTCCAAATCACCCTCTTTGAGGGAAGCTGAGGAGTGCCCCTTGGAATTCCTCCTGCCCAGAACCAAAAAACCTGAGCCTAGAATGCCTCAAAACCCAAGCAGCTCGCCCGAAAAAAGTGAACAAGGCGTTCGAGGAATGGGCGGCTCGTCTTTTCGAGTTGGTACCCAATCTAAAGACCCCATTTGGGGGGGGACCGATCCCTATTTCCATAGGTCCTCCAGTGGAGAGGTTAGAAGAAGGATACCAACTTTTTTTCGGTTGTCGGTTTTGGTAGGGGAACCTTCCCAACCAAAAAAGTTTGAGAAAGTTGGCACCTAACCGGGGGACCTAGTTTCAGACCAACCCGGGAAAAAACTCCTGGGGCGAGCGATTCGAATCGAATCAAACCGGCGCCAAGGCGAAGGCCGGTCCACACAGGGCGCGGAGACTCCAGCGCCATCGGGTAGGCGGCGAAATTTTGCCGACGCCAGCGGCTTATGGCTGTACCCAAAATGGCCCCTAGGTAAGTGGAAGCAAAAACCAAAACCTGCGTAACCCTAGCTCCTAAATTTTGCGCCACGCCCTTATGGGCTTGTCTCGCAGGAATCGGACCCCAATTGGAGGCGTTCCTGTTCCTGTTCCTTTAAACCCGTCCCAGAAAGGGTACCCTTTTTGAAGAAAGTTTCACAACCGTCTGAATCATAGATCCCGGATCGTGTTCCCTGCAAAATCAGCTGTTTAAAGTGATGGTCAAAACGGAACCCAACAAACATGTTCCAGTCAATCAACTGCCTGAGTGGCTCGACAGGTTGTTAAGTTGCCAGCGCAAGGGTCCGCTCAGTGACGGCAGACCTGGGCCTTCAGCTTGAGGGGAAAGGTCTCTCAAGGCCGAGCGGTGTTCAACGGGCACTGCCAGCAACCCCGGAGCTAAGTCGAAGCCGTGGCTGGTCTTCCTCGCGGCTTTTTTCGTGGGGGATTTAGACCACTGGGGAAACCAGCCCCCCTAATTTGGCCGGGCTCTACTTGGATCCGGGGGCAACGTTCACCGACGCCAGCCAGCTGCGTGCGCGCAACTCGCCGCGAAGTCCTGAGATTTTTTCTCCGGCGCCCGCGTCAGCCGCGCCAGCGGAAGCCTTCGCCAAAAAAAGAACGAGCGTTGAAGTTGAAGGATCCCTGGTCAAAAAAAAGGAAGACCAATCATACTGACCAAAGCTTCGGTGGACCTCAGTTTTGCCCACCAACTGCTTCGGGACCTCCCCATCAACAGGACTAGCCGTGTGTTTGTTGGCTTAGAGGCAGATGCCCTTTTGCGAAATATCAGAAATGGAGAGAGAAGTACCCAGGCTTCCTGGTCCAAGCGGACTCCTATAGGCAACAAACCTGTGCCCACTGAAGTCTCGCCGCGAAATCGGAGAAAAAACAAGTCCCCAAAAAATGTGTTGTTGTTTGCTCAACAATCCTGTTCGCTCGAAGTTCTGCTTCAACTTCCGCGCCCAAGCGCCAAAATACCCGCCGAAGGTTTCTGAGAGGAGAAAACCGTCCTTGCGCGTGGATACCGCACGGCAGAAGGGAATCCGGCGCAGGGGAATTCGGAGAGCCCCGGGAAGCCGTGGTCTTTTCTTCACCGCCTTGGACCCTGGAATCAGATTATCTGGAGATAGGCTTAGACCGCGGTCAAACACCCGGGCCCGGAGCCCAGGCTTTAGAGTTGTTGCTGATGAATAGATTTCCAGACCCGCCGTCGCGACGAGGGGGTCCCCCCCCCCCACCCGGCACAAGTTCATGCGGCTTCGGAAAATGAAGGAAACCCGAAAAGGCGAAAAATGTCCAAGGGGCAAGCCTTTGGTCGATGAAAAGGTGTATTCCATAGACCCCTCCAAACATAGGTGTCCTTTTAGGGCAAATAGATATCCCTGGTAGATGACTAAACCACCAGACCAGGAATCGCCATCTTTTTCTCTAGCACAACAACCAAAAAGGACACCTATGCCTTCAAAACTCAAACCAAAATTTCCCCCCTGCGCCTTCGGGGAGGATCTGGATGTCGCTGTTCTCCGGCGTGGAGTGCGGCGCCCGCATCAAGGAGGACCTCGCGGAGACGAACATTCGGCTTGGGCGTCTGCGTTTCTGAGCTACCCAGACGGGGGCCTGGAAGACTATGTTAGTTGGTGAGAGCGCACCCCTTTTGGGGTTGTCCCAGAGGGAAACCGAAAAGAAACCAGACTGCAAGCTTGGTCGTGGTAGTTTGCACTTGGTACGAGTTTTGAAAGATGTGTTCAACGGGAGAAGCCAAAAGGAAACAGCCATATTGGGGTCCTCCTATTTTGACACATACCCATGTCTTTTTGTGAATTGAATGGGCGGTTTCGAATTGGTGGTTTGCAGGGGGTTCGGGGGGTTTCCCACCACTGCAAGAACCAGAGGTTCAAAGCCCAAAACTACCAAGTACGTGCTCAATCATGACTCCGCCAGCAATGCGGATGTGCGCCACGACCATGTTTTGGGCCGGCGGACAGCTTGAAAAGGAAACAAACGATTCATGGAGGGGCCCAGCTTGTTTGTCACGCAGAGTTATGATGCGTCGGACGCTGTGCTTGTCAGGAATGAAGGAGCGGACGCTGTTCAGTGTCATTCCAGCCTTTCTTCATGGATGATCCATGTTTTGAACCTGCGTGCTGGCGATTGGTGAGTGACTTTTGCCACAACGATTCCAGCACAATGGGATTATTGAAGGGGACTTTCCCTGGCAAGGACTTAAAACAGAAGCCATTCTTGGAGCAGTGGAAAGATGGGGGAGGTGCTGTGGTTGCTTCTTGGAAAAAGTTAAAAATGATACCTTCGTGGCTCCAGCCCGCATTGAAGGGGCGTCCAAAACCGAACCGAAGCGGCCGCTTGGAAGATACGGAAGGCCAAGTATTGATGCAATCTGGCGACCATTTATGATCAACACAAATCAAAAAAACGCGTAGCCTTTAGTTCATACAAACATATATGATAGACATATGTCTTCATAATTATATATGTATACATACTTGTGTATACATAAATGTATGTACGTGTGTGCGTGTGTGTGTGCATATGTGTAAATATATATATATATGCACACCTCATATTATGAACAACTGATTGTTCGAAATTTACAGAAACAGCGGTTCAATCCGTTGTTGCTGAACAGCGGTTTGGCGCTTTCGGTTAGGCGCTTTCGGCGTTCAAAGGGGTTTCCCTCACCGTTTTTGGTGAAAAGCCAAAAGGAAAACCAAAAGCCATAGGTCCAAAAACAAAAGGCACACCCATTTAATCCCAGTTCAAACCAACCCAAAAGAGGCTCCCTCAAAGAACGACGCAGTTGTTTTCTCACAGGGGGAATGCTCCCAAGGAACGCAACATATCTGCAAGAGAGGGTGTTTTACCGTTTTTCTTTGGGATGGAGGTGTGGACAAAAATGATGCACACCCGAAATGGTGTCCGAATCTGCAGGACAGCCACAAGATCGACCCAACCCAAAATCTCCGACTCGCGCGATGAACGGTCCTGGCGGCATACGCATCGATGGAATCATAGACCTTCCGCAGGGAGGAGTCGATTTGCTCGTCCAAGGGGAAGAGGCGCTGGCCGAAAGTAGGTTGCTGTCCAAAAGGCAAAGGTCCCGGACAGGTCCGCGAGCTGATCCGCTGTTGTTCCCCACTAAAATAGGAGTTTGGGGGGGGGAGAGTAGCTTTGCCAGTCACCCGATGAACTCCGGGATTTGGTGGCCATTCGAATGTCTCCCAAACTATGCAACGCTCTCCACTCAAGCTTTGGCTTACCCACATCTGCCGAGGCTTTCTACCCTAGTATACATGGGCCAAACAGAAACTGCAATCCCACTACACCTAGTAGAACTAGAACTCACCTACGGCCAACGGGGTTTGAAAGACAACAACAGCCTTTCGACACATGGCAATTAATGACCAAGCTGTGGTCAAGTGTGTTGAAATCAAAGTAGTCCAATACGTCGAGGCCTTTGAAGTGCGGAAGAGGCAATGCCGGCGCTTAATGCTAGATTTGACCCAAAATGGGGATGTTCTCCAAGACTGCAATATGGGTGTGCTTTATGGGGGGGCGGGGGGGCGGGAAGTCATTTTGGAGTGATTTTAAAGGGAAACCAAGTGGGAAAATCACTATTTTGGGGGTTTCTAACACATATGCATATGTCTTCAGGCAACCGAAAGGTGATCCAAAAACACACCCCGAAGACGGGGGAAATGGAGCCGGATCCCTTTCGCAGCCCCGGGCCCACGACGATCGCTCAAGAGCCAGAGGTGAAAAAGTGAAAGCCAGGCCATAGGTCACCAACGTCTTACCAAATGGGTATCCCAAATAAACCCCAAGGACCCTTCAAGCCCAGCGGCCAATCCCCACACCGGTCCATTCGCAAAGCCCTTGAAGTGATCCCCGACAGCAAGTTCACCAAAACGAAAACCACCACCAAACCCAAACATGTGGGTATGGGTCAAAATTAGACCCCCACAAAACCGGGTTTGTGTTTCCATAGGGTTCCATTTGGGAGCCCTATGTTGGCCGCACGGCCATGTCTAAACACAGCGCCTTCTTTCGTGCCGCCAGACGTGCCGTTCCTCGTTTTTCCACGCGGTGCAGCCGCGGATTTTTCCCCGGCGAGACCCTCAGCCGCGGATCACGAAGCAGTGCGGCCTAGGCGTGCGCCCGGCGTGGCCGGCGTGGCCGGGGAGCCCTGCGAACTCGGGTTGGAATGTGCACCAAGTGCTTAAAGAAAGGATCCGTTTGGCCGGACAAAGAGGTGGTTAGATCCCTATGCGGAGCTGGGTTAGCTTATCAGCTTATCTACCCCAAGGCCGCTCACCCAACTGATTCTCTTCCCAGTCAAGGGGAAAAGCTGTCCCTTCCCACTGCAAGACCCTTCCACCCTGGATGTTTTGGTGGTTGGTTTAGGGTTCATATAGATTTTGTAGATGTGTTGGTGGTTGGTTTAGGGTTCATATAGATTTTGTAGATGTTTGGGTGCTTGGTTGAGGCTTCATGTGCAAGGTCTTCAGCATCGGCTGAAGCCTTCACCTGCCAAATCAAGACCAAGTTGCGTGCACAGCCGTAGTCAAAAATCTGAATTTGTTGTCATGTTCCCATACTCATACTGTGAGAAATTATGGATCCGAAATCTGAAATCTGTATCTGAATTTGTTCTCACAGTATCATTCCATGGTCAAAAATATGAATTTGATACTGTGAGAAACCATGGAATGATTCGATTCACCTCTGAATAGTAACAAACATGGCTTGTTGGTTGAGAGTTCTGTGCACAAAGAAAAGAGACTAGTGACAATTATAACCACAATTTACACCTAATTAACCTATAAAGTTTACACCATTTGTTTTATATACCGCTGCTGCTGGCACAGAATTAACTACTATGCTACTGCTTAATAGTAGTTGGGGGGAATTCGGGTGTCAGAATTTTGGCGGATTTGGAGCCCCAAAAGATGGTGGGGTTCATGTTGGTGTCCCCCTAAAGCCACAAAAAATGAAGTCACCCTCAAGCAGAGGAAAAGGAAAAACAAATGCCCATTGGTGTGTTGTGCGGATCATGTTGCCGTTTTTGTTTGTGGATTTGTTCTTTGAAAGGTTTTGAGTGCAGGGGAGGAGTAACAGTGTGTTGCTTGCGGTTGGTCGGCGGGTCTCATCCTGGGGTAGCCCTGTCTCGCATACACCGGGAAGAGTCTGCACTCCACATTAGAATGATTCCGACTGTGGGTGAAATCCATTTCGCACCACTTTGAAACCATTGGAAAGCATGTTTATTGGTATATTTCGAGATGAATGTGTCTTCGCTCTCGCCCCCCCAAAAAATCCTTCACCTTTGTTTCCGACGGTACCTGACAGTCGCTTCAAGTAAACCGTGGCGGTGTCCCTTGTGGACCAAAAGCAGGACGTGGTGTTCAGTAGGGAATGACCCAGAATGTTGGGAGTGAACCTGCGGAGTCCCAAAGAAACCTTAACAAATTGTGTACAGGGGGCATGCCATGTCTCATTCCCTGCTGAGAACCAGCAAGGGCAGCTAGTAAAACAAATACGCTCTCTCCAACTAGCATAGCACCTCACGGAGCTTCAAGAGAAAATGTTGATCTTCAAGGTACCCTCCCGCAGGTGCTATGTTAGCGGGAGGGAGGGTACAACCATGTTCCCGCGCTCTGGTCCGGTCGTCCGCTGGGCGCAGGGCATCATCAAATGCCGCAGCGAGTCGCCCAGCACCACCAAAGGGAGGCACAAGCCGCAGGCCTTGGACGTTGACCCCAGACCCGGAAAAGGTCGAAAGGGTGCGGATTTATTTGTTGTTGTTCTTGTCTTTTTTGGGAATGGTTTTCCCTCAATGTCTCTAGGTCCTCCAGTAGAGAGGCTGGAATAAGGGTACCAACTTTTTTCTCTAGTCTATTTTAGTGGGGGAACCCTCCCCAAAAAAAGTTGGTAAAAGAGCACCTAGCCAGGCAACCTAGCTCAAAACGAGGTTGTGCGGCTTTTCGGGGGACCCCACAAATGGCTTCGGCTTTCCCCCTGGTCTTTGTTGCTGTTGACCCCTGTGCAACAAGCTTACTGTTATTTTATTTAGGTTTAGTCCGTGGATAAAAAAAAAACCTTGATTTCAACCAAAAAGTCAAAGTCAAAGTCTCAACCCAACAGCAGTCAAGTGGTTTACATGAAATCCCCCGACTCCCCATCGCCCAAACTGGGCCCGTGGCGACCAGATCCAGCGGGCTGCGGATCGCCAGCGCAGCGAGCAGCACCTGAAGCTCGGCCAAGGCCGGAAAAATCGGCAGACCTGGGGGTTGATCAAAATGACGATGGGTGGGAGATACTGTGGGTGGACGAAATCCAATTTGCACCAATTTGAAACCATGGTTGAAACCATTGTTTGTTGGTATTTACAGGGGAATCATCATTCCACGGTCTCTTAGGTGGTGCAGGATTTCGTCCACCCACAGTATCATCTTGTTCATTAACAAATGGAACCTGACGTTTCGGGGTGCTGGAAGACGAGTTTCCTTGAGGGACCCTCTGGTGGCTTCCACGTTGGACAGGAGGGTAGCATCTTTTGGGCTTCGCCCGGGCCTGAGACAGGGTCCCAAACTTGTCTGAATCAGACGCCTGCTTGGCTGGCCGCTTTTGGATTGTGAACCCCCGGATTCTTCTAGCTGGCTGTCTTCCATTGCGTCAGGGAGCATTCACTCAAATGACGAGCTCAAGGAAAAGTGGCTATAGGTGCTCCAGTAGAGAGTCTGGAATAAGGGTACCCATTTTTCTGTCTATTTTAGTAGGGGAACCCTCCCCAAAAAAAAAAGGTAAAAGGGCACTACTGGGGGACCTAGGTGGAATCCGCTCGCCTGTTTTTGGTCAAGGAGCTCGGGTTGAGAGGTGATCACTTCGGACACCAACAACTGAAGCTCTTTGAGGGAAGAATCGTTTCCAACAGCTTGCCCAGTTCTCGAAATCTTCCAACCAGCCCTTGCGAGTCTGTCGCTTAAACGTGGCTTCTTCGTTGGACTGCTTCTGGCCTGCTTGAAAAACGTGGCACGTGAATAGGTTCTGACCATCCGTCCTTTCTCTGCCAAATGTCTTGGGGTCCCAAACGTGGCTTTTCTCGCTGTCTCGGATAGGCATTGGTTCTTTGCTTTTTGCCAGTCCCTCGCAACTTGCTGTCATCGGCGAAAGCAACCAACAAACCTAGGCTGCCCGCAGATCCTCCGCTCAAAGTTTAACTTTTAGTGGGTTAAATGGAAGGCTAAAAAGTTAAGGGGATGGCTGGGAGCCACCAAGAAACCATAGCTGTAAGCAAGCAGGTCGCCTTCATTTTGTCCGAAAGTGCCATTGAAGAAAGTGTCCGCCCCAAACCTCAAGGAGCAAATGGCATGGCACATAGCACGTGGCAGCGTGTGAACATGGGGCGAGATCTACCTCCGAACCGTCCGGCATCGTTGTGGCTCTCCCAGTTACAGATGTCACGTCAAGTTTGTGCAGGGTCCCTTCAACAATGACAAGGGCGAGATCTTCGCCGGTACTTCAAATTGGTTTGGCATTTTCGTTTGTGGGACACGGGGAACCAATGAATCCACGGCGGATGTCCGGGGTCCTTCACCCGTCAAGCCAGGTCAACCGGAACTCAACATGGCCAGCGCCAACAACCGTCAAAAAGTTGGGGGGACAACGCCTTCACTAGCTCCCGACTGTGCCCAAGAAAAGGCACGGGACATGGGTGCCATGTGCCTGGAGGCCGGCGTTTCTGTGGGGGTTGGCCCGGTCTCTCACTAGGGGGGTGTCGTCTCCCCCCTCCCTTTTTTTTCTTTGGTTTCGTCTTGGCTTTCGGGGAATTCCCCCCCCCCCCCCCCCGGTTTTTGGGGTCGGTTTTGAATGGAAGCCACCAGGAATCCATCTCGGGAGAGCTCTCGGGCCACCCCGCGAACTGCAGCTGGGTCAGCACGGTGTAGAGCTTCAGGACATCTGGACCTCGGCTTTCGCTCACCGAATGGTTCAGGGGGTTCCATTTTTTGGGGAAATCTACCAATTTCTGGGTTGAAGTCCATGTTCGGGTGGTCGAAAAAATGGAACCCTATCCATTTTTTATGGGTCGTCGGTCGTTCTTGGTTGCATGTACCCCCCAAAATAGTGCCTTTCCTCTTAATTTCCATTTAAAACCACAAAAAAGGGATACCCTAGACCTACATGGCCAGCCCATTCGTCAATTAGTCCGTGTCTGGCCAAGTGCAGGGTCCCTTGTTGCCTGTTTGCAGGAGGCGAGGAGGCGAGGAAACCTTGGAAACTAAGCCTCACTATTTCAATAGGCATCTGACAACTGAAGCGCAAGAATTGAGAGATCCCGCAGAAGAGTACTGCGATCAGGGCGTTCATTGCCCCGTGACGAGTGGAACATGCATCCTTCATGACAACGCTGGCTTGGCCAGGAATCAACTTGAATCAAGCTATGCAAACGCGCGCAAAGCAAAGCTCACATGCACAACCGCCAAAAAACATGAAGCTGGCTGTCCTTTTGGTTTCCCGTGAAACCAAGCCCCTGAAGGCACCCATTTTTTTCAATTGCCGCCGCTCAAACTGAATGCGGGGCCACTTCCACAGGCCAGCGAGTCGCCATCTGCCGGCAATTCAAGGCATCCGTGGCCCAAGAGGCGATGCTCAGGAACAAAAAAGCCGCCTTGCGGACTCATCGCCCATACGAGCCGAAGCTCAGCGGGCCCTGTTGTTCCAACCACAAAGCTTTTTTGTAACAGCTCCAGTGAGCCTTGTGGTTCATGGGTCCCAAAAACCGAGTTTTTGTGGTTGGAAAGACCGGGTCCCCCAAACCGAAAGGATCGACGCCTGAGGCTTAGGAAGCCGAAACCTTCAATCCTTGGGCTGCACGCAACGGCTGACCGCAAGCCGCAAGCCGCAAGCCACGACTCGTAAAGGCTACGCCAAGAGAATCTCCAGGCCAATACTGTGGACGAAATCCAATTCGCACCAGTTTAAAACCATGGATGAACCACTGTTTGTTGGTATTTACAGGAGAATCGAATCATTCTATGGTTTCTCAGGTGATGCTGGGCGACATGCGGGAATTTTTCCACCCACGTCCAGTTGCTGCTCTGCAGGGAAACCATACCCAGAGGTTAGCACACCCGACCAAGAGTGGCGACTGGAACGGGGGAACCAACCCGCCGGCTTCGAAGACCCCTTCGACCCCTTCGACCCATTCGACCTGTGCTGGG